CAAGGCTATCGTTCAAAATAGATGGTGAAATAGAGCTTCCCAGACAGAAAAAGTAACGGAATTTATCACCACCAAACCAGCATTGCAAGAAATGTTAAAGGGACTGCTGTAATAATAAAAAGTAATAGAGAGAGAAACATAGGCATAAAGAATTTAAATGTCAATAAATAAGGATCTATCTATAATAACCTTAAGAACTTTAAGGCAGAGATCCATAGCAATACATTCATAGTTGTGGACTTGAACACCCCACTGACTTCACTGGATAGAACTTCCAAACAAAAAGTAAACACAGAAACAGTGACTAAATGGCACACTAGATCAGGTGGATTTTATAAATACTTACAGAACATTTCAACCCAAAGCTGCAGAATATACATTCCTCTCAAGTGCGCATGAGTCATTCTCAAAGTTAGACCACATATTAGGACACAAAATAAGTCTCTAGAAGTTCAAGATTGAAATCATATCAAGCATCTGAGATCACAAGGGAATGAAATTAGAAATCAACTACAGTAAAAACACTCAAAAACAGTCACATGGAGGCTAAGTAGCATGTTATTAAAAAATGAATGGGTTACCAATAAGATCAAGAAAGAAATCAAAACCTTCCCAGAAACAAATGAAAATGAACACACAACAACCCAAAATCTATGGAACACAGCAAAAGCAGTCCTAAGGGGGAAGTTCATGGCACTACAGGCCTCCCTTAAAAATCAAGAAAAATTTTTAGTAAACTAAACCTACAATTTAAATAGTAGAAAGCTCCCCTGTGAAGCCATTTGTACCAGGGCCTTTGTTTGCTGAAAGTTTTTTTTCTTACTGTTTCAGTTTCATCAGTTGTTATTAGCCTATTCAAGTTTTCTGATTCTTCCTGATGCAGTTTTACATGATCTCACTCACATGTGGAATCTAATGAAGAAGTTGAACTGAGGAACAAAATAGATCCAGAAACATAGAAGCATGGAACAGATTGATCAATCTCAGTGGGAAGGCAGGAGTCTGGGAGTGGCAGGAGAGATTAATCAAAGGACTTATATGCATATATGTATAACCCATGGACACAGACAATATTGTGCTGAAGGCTTGGGGAGTGGCAATGTGGGGTGCAGGGGATCAATGTGGAAAAAAGGGGATATCTGTAATACTTTCAACAATTAAGATTAAAAATAAAATAATAATAATAAAATGATCTCACTCCCATAAGGACAATCTCTTACAATTGTTTCTGTCATGTACGTAGCCTTTACCTGTAAAGCTATCTGAACTTCTCCAAGGGAGAAAATATGTTTTTCTATTTGTCAAACTGCTGTTATCAAACCCCTAAAAATGGTCCATGATTAAATGCACATTTGTGTAAGCATCTTTCAGGTACCATTTTTTCTATACTATTTGAAAGTGAAAATGAGTGAATTACAGTATTGTGCTCCTGGCAAATCTTTATATATAAACAGATTATACTTCTTTAGCAGTCTATACCTAGTAAAGAGCTTTCATGTGCATTATCTCACTTGGCTCTCAGTCCTACTAAGATGGTATTATCAGCCTCATAGGTTTTTAGATGAGGAAACTAAGATTCAAAGACAGAGAATAAGTAGCTTGCAATATCAATGGAAATTAGTAAAAAATCAGAAGTGTTGGCCTTGACCAACTGATGTATTAATTCAATGATATATCTTAATATATTACAAAAATTAAAATATCTTACATTCCTAGAAAAAAAGTTATTGATTGTAAGTTTGGTTTAAATGCTCTTTTATGTTTTATAAATAAATATTTTATTTATAATAAATAAATACTCTTATAGCATCATAAACATCAAAATTTGTATAATAATTGTGCTAGCTTAGTAAAATTAATTAAGAAGATCAATATTTTTCTGCTTGTAAAACCAGCTACCAGCAAAAGAATTTATGGAGCTTTGATTATTTGGAAGAATTTTCTTTACCTCCTAATTAAGAAAGAGGATTCTCAATCAAATATTTTATGACAGTTTGTTCCTTCTTTATTTTTTAAAGAAATGATTCATCCATTCATCTAAGTAATTATTAATGAGGACAATTTGTAACTGTTCATTTTATTTCAATATGCAAATCTCTATTTTTAATTTGTGTACATAGACCATTTGTATTTAAGGTAATTATTGATGTCTTAGAGCTTATTTCTGCTATTTTATTATTTTTCTTTATTTTCTGTTTCTTGTTCTTTTGTTTGTCTTTTCTTAACCTCTGCAGTATACATGAACATTTTTTTAGGATTCCATCTTGATTTATTTGTAATGTTTTTGTATAGTCTTTTAAAAGTAGTAATTAATATTATTTTGTTTATTATATCATCTATTTATTTTTTATATTTTTTAATTTTTATCAAATTTGGGTGACATTGGTTAATAAAATTATATAGGTTTTAAATGTATATTCTATAATACATTATCTGTATTTTGTACTGTATGTTCACCAACCTAAGTCAAATCTTCCATCACCATTTATCCTCCTTAACCCTTTTCTATCTATCCCCACCACCTTTTCCTTTTAGTAATCACCACACTGTTGTGTCTATGAGTATTTTTTTTTGCTTAATCCTTTCACTCTTTTAATCCAGCCCCCTAACCTTCCTCTCCTCTGACAGCTGTCAGTCTAGATATGAGTCTGTTTATGTTTTGTCTGTTTATTTTGTTCATTAGATTTCACATATAAGTGAAATCATATGGTACTTGTATTTCTGTGCCTGGCTTATTTTCCTTAGCATAATACTCTTTTAAAAAAGCCTTGTTAAATAGTAGTCTATTTTTTGAGGTGTCTTTCCAAACTATTTTTGCAAAGACTGCCATATGTAGTCACTGAAATCCCTGTTCCTTTAGATTATATTCAGCTAATATTTTGACAGATTTCCTGAGTGCCAAGAGTTAAAAAAAAAAACAAAAAACAACATCAAGAACCCAAATCACACACACACACCCCTCCCAGTCTTTGCAGATTGGCTCTGTGCTGAAGCACTCCTTCAACACTTGGCCAAACTTGCACGTAACCTATGGATCAGCCCAGAGTCTAAGCTTTGGGTCTTCTTCAGTCTTTTCTGGGCATGTGTCTTTCCCTAAGCATGCATGTGTTTTTCTAAATCACCCCATATATATGGGTACTTTCTTAATGTCTTAATTTCTTAAAGTATCTCCCCCAGTTTTAGCTCTCATGATTAGGCAGTCTATTGTGTGTGTTCAACCATTTTTTGTTGCCACAGGTATCTGTGGTTTGTTAGTTTGCTTTGTGACATTTTTAAAAAACATATGCCTACCCACTTTTCAGTCTGCATTCTGAATTGAGTGAAACAGTAGTGAGCACCATGTGTCAGTTCTTCAGGTGGCCACCAGACACATTAGAGCAGACATACACGATAGTTTGTGAACATGTTTTGCTGAACTCACTTGGAAACTAGAGATAAAGATCTCACAGTAGGAACACAGGCTGATGCCACTTAAAGACTGCCACTTTAGGACTGGTACTGCTCTGGGGAGAGGGCTGTGGTAAGGGCAAGTGAAAATATCACAGAACTTTCCTGTCATTTACAAATTGCCTTTTTCTTGATTCAGCATTTGCTTCATTATGTAAACCCTTGACTGTTTCCCAGAGTTATGACAACATCGATTCTGACAGTTTCTGCTTGCTTTTCTATGTTTCTGTGAAGGAATGAAAACTTGGAGCTGCTGCCTCTTCCATTGTACTGACACCCTTGTCATTTTTAATATATCAATTTCAGCATCTCCCTGGATGTCTCTATGCACCAGAAAATCAAAGTATAAAGAATATTAAGGATATTTTAAGTATAACATAAGTATAAAGCAAAAAACATACAAGTATTGGGGGAGGTCTGGGAGAGACACACATCATTTTAATCCATTGGCTAAAAATTAGGCACATGGCCCCACTTAACTGCAATGGAGTTAGGGAAGGTTGGGTATGATATTCCCAGGAGGAAAGGAAAATGAGTTTGGGGGACAAACCAGTTTCTGCCAGAACTACCAAAGAGCTCGTATCCATTGATAACTAGAGTTGTGTCTTTGAGAAAGAGCTATGATATATCAAGCTGGATCCTTGTTCCTAGGTTAAAATGTCATGGCTAGAAGAATATTTAAAGACCATCTTTTTTTATTTCCTATGACTCCCCAAAATTGAGAGGAGCTGGCCAAAGTCACACTGAGTCAATACCAGACCTCAGCTAAGAGCCAGCTGGATTACTCATCTCTTCTCTATACCATTGGCATTCAAATATATTTTACCATTGCCAAGAGTAAGTAATAAATTTTTCATCACAACCAAACTCATACTTACATATATTTTATCTGTAAAATTTTACAAAGCAATACTGAGGTAGATAGTGAATACAGCTATTTGTCAAACCTCTCCAGCTCCCCAAGTTCTAGAACATTATAGAATTGCACTTTCTTTTACTTTCATAGTTACTAATGATCAGGTGATATGTGTCGTCAAGGATATGTGAGCGAAGTGACATAGGAAGAGCCGGTGCACAGTTCACAATGTTCTCTTTTCCCTGATGCTCCAATCATGGCAGCACAAAGATGAAGCCTCTGTCACCCTGGGTAACATGTGAAGCATACCAACATGATAATAAAGCAGGATAATGTAAAGCAGGGCCCCCAGGAAACTTCTGGTAGGCAAATAGTGTGAGTGAGAAATAAAATTTTGTTTTTTAAAGAAACTGAGATTTGGAGTTTGCTTTTTGCCATAGCATAACTTAGCCTATGCTGACTGATATAAGTACCTAATTTTAGTGTATGCTATGCACTGTGGTTTTTGATATCATTATTTTACTTTGCCTTATTTCAATTTTCAGTGCTGCTTGCAACTTGGTAAATTGATTTCATGACTTGGTAATGGGTTGCAACTTGCAGTTTGTAAACTCTGTTACAATAGTCACTTGTAACATAGCTGATCCTTTATCCAAGTTCCTGTACAGCAATGTTAGTGACTCCCATTTTTGTGCAGGATTGTGGTTATGGAGAGGGTGGAGACGCATACTGCACAGCCTGCCCTCCCAGAAGATACAAAAGCAGCTGGGGCCATCATAGATGCCAGATTTGCATCACCTGTGCTGTCATCAATCGTGTCCAGAAGGCCAACTGCACAGCTACCTCTAATGCTGTCTGTGGGGACTGCCTTCCCAGGTGAGCCTGCTGTATGAAGTGAAACTGTTCTGGGCCTTCTCTAGCCCTTGGAGGCCTCTCTTAACCTTATCTCTCAGAGCCTATTTAAAGTAGTCTACCTTTCCATATCATGACGAGTTTAAGCTCCCACTAAGGAGAAGCAGTGTCTTGCCAAGATGCCCCTATAAAGTACCTAGCACATGGTCAGCCACAGATGAGTATTTAACAGCTTTATTATCATGTTGGTATGCTTACCTGGCAAGGTAAATCTCACTGTAGACATAAAATAGATTAGGAAACAGTTGGTATCAAAGCAGTGCTCCCCTCTCTTGTGATACTAATTCCCCTTTTGACTATAGATGTGGTGAATGGGGGAAGAAGTAGAGTATATGGGGCTCTGAGTCAGAATCAGACATAGTGACAGAGAATTCATGAGTGTTGGTGGGGAGTGCTGGCTTCCAGGAGGGCAAGACTCCTAAAAGCTGCCTGTGGTCTCAGGAAGGAAAAATCCAAGGGCATTGAATGTTTGGTCATCTTGCAATTCCTTCTTCTCTGACCACAGGTTCTACCAAAAGACACGCATTGGAGGCCTGCAGGACCAAGAGTGCATCCCGTGTACAAAGAAGACTCCCACCTCTGAAGTTCAATGTTTGTATCTAGTTCTCTTCTCTTTTTTCTTCCCCAACCCATTGAGTGGCAGTAAGACAAGGGAGTAAAGACTTCTACTACCCCCCATACTCCTTCCTGTAGGCTAGATTAGCAAGGGAATCAGATTTAAATCTTGGTTTCACAATGTGTTATCTGTGTAACCCTCTGCAAATCACTGGAATTTGTTAACCTTCATCTCCCTGATCTGAAAAAATATGTCATGAAATCATTGTTTTTCATACCTTATGGGATGGCTATCTAGATCTAGTGAAATAATAGATTTAGAAAGCAGCTTATAAATTATAATATGTATACATTTGTAGATGCTGCTGCTGCTGCTGATGATGATAATATGAGGTTTATAAAAGCCCCTAGCGCTTAGGACTAGTAAAGGCTGAATGAAGTACTAGGTAGGATCTAGTCTATGCTTATACCATTATCCATTTATCTGTCTGTCTATCATTTTCATCTGTCTACCACCTATATATCTACTCGTGCATTCCTTTAAAATTATTGATAACTTTTAAAATCATAAAGTATTTCAAATATGTAGAAATATTTAAAATGCAGAATACATAAAAATAAAAGTGCTCAGTAAAGCAACAACCATAAATCTTAACATCTTTGCATATTTGCTTCATATATTTTTAAAAGAACAAAGACTCTACAGGTTTAGTGAAATTCCCTTTTTTATCCTCTCTACTCATGTTTTAATACTTGTATTTTTTTGTAACATATACACATATTTATAGGCAATATATGCTGTTATTTATATTTTATAATGTTTTATATAAATGACATCACGCTACATTCTTTCTCCAACTTGCTTTCCCCTCTGGATTATTTATATTAATCCATACAGGTCTGTTATTGATTTACTTATCCTGTGCCCTATGGATAAACATTTTAGTTTGTTTCCATTTTTCTGGGTTATATAACTAGAGGTGACATGGAAAGACCATAGGATATGTGCATCTTTGAATATTTGTATTAATTTATACAATATTAGCAGTATATGCCAGTCTCTCTGATTTGTTCTTTACACTTTTGCCTGATCTACCAAGGAGTAAAACCAACTTATCAGCCCTAATAGGAAAAGGCCCCAAGGAGAGAGTGGTAGCCTGAGGAAGTCCAGGCCCAGTGTCAGGGTGACTGTTGACTACCCACACTGACTGACCTCCCCCAATTTCTTGTCTCACAGGTGCCTTCCAGTTAAGCTTAGTGAAGGTAGATGTACCCACTGTGCCCCTGCAGGAAACCACGCTTGTACTGGTGAGCAGTCTGCTCGTGGTGTTTACCCTGGCATTCCTGGGGCTCTTCTTCTTCTACTGCAAGCAGTTCTTCAACAGACATTGCCAGCATGGTAAGTGTAGCTGCTTCACGTATTGTATTGCATGAATCAGGAACAAGGTGGAAAAGATGAATTATCTGGAGCTGAGAGATAACAGGCCTTCCATACAATGCTGGAAAACCTCAGGGGTAGACTATCTGAGGCTGGCAATAGAAAGCAGGGGACTTCAGAGATGACTGAGGTGAAACCTGACCATTAATGAGACCTGCTTCATTAAGATGCAGGGGTTCATAAAGGAGCAAAACATCATGAGAAAACCTTTAAATTCTGAAGACTTAGGTTTTAAATTTATTTCTAAATCACTGTGTAACTTTAGACAAGTAATCTAACTTCTTTGGGCCCCTTTCTTCCTAATGTTTAGAATGGCAGGTGGAGTTGGATTAGTCGATTTTTAAGTTCTTTTACAATTTTTCATTTTTCTTTTACTAGTAGGTATAGATTCAGGAGCATGTCAAGAATTAAGGAAGACTGGCTGGATTTGAGATATGACTGTAATAAAAGTGGGTGAAGTCTTGGATAACTGTTATTGGTATAGTTATAATCCAGATGTGGGTAACTGAGAGCCCAGTGTCCAGGAGTTGGCAAACCTAAACTTTTTTCCCCAGTCAATAATGATATCCAAAAAGATCTGTCAGCCCATAGGAGAGAGCCATGTGAAATTCCAAATGGAAGGTCATATTTAAATCAGGAGTAACATTGTGATCTGCTTTCAGCACAATTTCAGCCAAGAATGGAGGGCAGAATGTCCCAATCACTGAGGCAAAGATGGGGGAGATGGGATGGTGGCTGGTCAGTACAAAGAAGGGTGCTAAAACTCCAGCCAAGGGTACTGAGGCTCAATACAGTTTAAGTGTCATTAAGGAAACGGAAAGCTATAGAGATACCAAAACAGGAACACAAGTTAGTGAATGCTGTTGATTTAGTAAGGTTTACAGGATACTGGGGTGCTTAACATTCCCCTTTAGCCCACTGGATACAAGGCCCAAAGAAGTACAAGTTTTATTTCTATTTGTACGAAAAGATCCCTTTTATATAGACCTGCTTTGATCAGTTTGGCTCTAGGGCCTGTCAACCGATCTTCAAAAAGCCTAACAGATATGTTTGTCTGTACCCCTGGCTTAACTGGAGATTAATCTAGCATTTCACGGGCTTCAGGGACACAAGGGGAACACTGTTGTCCCTTTATAACCCTTATTAAACTCTATTTTTCTCTCCTCTACTCTTTGGAAATTGTGGTTCAAAGTAGACCATCCTGTATTTGACTTTGGAGGTTAGTTTCTCAGATAGGAGCTGTTGCCCAGTCCTTGGGCATGGGCATGAAACATGAATGATGAAGGACTTGGGCCACAGAGCCCAGAAAGATGAGGCACCATCTGAGAGCTGTCTATCTCCCCTTTCTTGACTCAGAGAGAAGAAATAGGTAATATTTCTATGCTTTTTCTCTTCCCTTAACATAATAATGTAGTACCCTTCTCTGGAGAAATGAGGGCAGGAAGCTCCCTCAGGGTCTCTATGGGGCAAAGAGGGTTAGACAATTTTTCCATTGGGGAAGGTGCCTATCAGGAGTCACTGATTTTCATGCATACTGTGGTTGTATAGGTGAGATTAGCATGTGAATTAGATCCAATATAAGGTGCAATAGAGAGTAGTAGGACTCTGGCAAACTGAAGAATTCATCTCCCGTCTAAAGGGGAATTTACTATTTAGCTCCAGTTATTTGTAGCCATGTGGGAATATTCAATGTTTCAAGATCTGGATTTTCAAGAGAACCCAAAAATCAGATTTTTTTTTTAAATGAAAAGTTTTAATCTCTGACAATGAATTCTAATAAAAAATAAAACCACAATCACAATGTGGAGGTCAAAAAAACATACATAGTCTCTCAGTTTGTAATCTGATGTCAAATCAGACTTAGGCATGAAGGATGTATTACTTTTCCTTCACTGGCATAACAAATTACCACAAATTTGATGGCTTGAAAATGACACACATTTATTCTCTCTATTTCCATAAATCAGAAGTTTTGCAGGCAGCTGAATTTCTGCTTAGAGTCTCACAAGGCTGAAATAAAGGTGTAGGGAAGGCTGTGTTCCTTTCTGGAAGTTCCAGAGGAGAATACATTACCTTGATCATTCAGGAAGATAGAAGAATTCAGTTCCTTGAATTTATAGGGCTGAGGTCCCATTTATTTGTTGACTGTCAGCTGAGGGCCATTCCCAGTTTCTAGAGGCCACCCACATTCTCTGGCTTATGACCCCATTCTATTTTCGAAACTAGCAATGATGAGTCGATTCATTTGGATGACTCATCTTTCTGATACTCTCTCTGATTCTTCTGCTCCCCTCTTCTACTTTTAAGTGATTACTTTGGCCCCACTTGAGTAATCCAAGGTAATCTCCTTATTTTAAACCACATGTTAGTAATACTGTCTGAAAAGTGCCTTTGCCATATAACATACACACAGACCTAACACCAGAGGGAGAGGATTATGGGATTGGGTGTCAAAATCTTCCTTCCCACAAAGGATTACTCTTTCTTTGGAGAAATTGACTATTTTTTATTAAATATATATTTTTTATTGTTGACAATATTACAGATGCCCCCCATTTCCCACCTTTCACCCCTCACCTCCCTAGACCTTCACCACACTATTGTCTATGTCTGTGGGCTATGCATATAAGTATATAAATTCTTTGGTTTATCTGTTCCTACCTCACCTCCCCTCTGAGATATGTCAGTATGTTCCATGCCTCCATGCCTCTGGACTTATTTTGTTGGTCAATTGATTTTGTTCATTAGATTCCACAAATAAGTGAGACTGTGTGATGTTTGCCTTTCTCTGACTGGCTTATTTCACCCTGTTTCATCATCAGGTAGGCTCAATATAATACCCCAATTTAAGTGTGTTTCTCATCTGTGTCACCTCAGCTTGGTGCTAGGTGCTCTGGTCCCCAGGAAGAGGAAGGCAAGCTCTAGCTCCCAGAATCTGTTTTTCTTGTACTCAGGACCAGGTTCCCTGCTGAAAGGAGCCCCTGCTTTTGGGTGACCCAGTGGCTTTCTGCTTCGAGTTGCAGGAGGTTCGCTGCAGTTTGAGGCTGACAAGGCAGCGGAGGAGGAATCTCTCTTCCCCATGCCACCTGGCCAGGAGACCAGTCCTGAGTCCCCACTGAGTGAAAGCATCTTTGAGACTCAGCCACATAATCTTATCCTGGATGACGACCGCAGCTCAACTCGTGGCTTCCCCACCCAGGAGTCTTTTACCATGGCCTCCTGCGCCTCAGAGAGCCACTCTCACTGGGTCCACACTCCCATCGAATGCACAGAGCTGGACCTGCAAAAGTTTTCCAGCTCTGCCTCCTATACTGGAGCCGAGACCTTGGGGGGGAACACAGCTGAAAGCTCTGGAGAGAGGTTGAAATTCAATGTGCGCTTTGAAGTTCCTAGCCCTTAACCTTACTGAGGTGAGCTGGAAAGATGGGGGAGAAAGACCAGAAATTGAGGACCACCCCAAAGGAATTCTCCTTTTGAGTACTGTTGTTCAGTAGGGCTAGCAGTAGAGAAACAGCAAACTAGGATCACTGGTGGATGTTAGAGCAACAGTGATAATACGAACCTTTTGAGCCAATCAGAGATCACATTTCTGGGCCTTCAAAGAACTAGCTATATAGATGTAACACCAGTCTCTCTATTCTGGCCTTTTGCAAGGATTCTCAGGGTCCCACTATCTAATAATTATTCAGTGATCTAGATTCATGTAAACAAGCACCATGACACAGTAGAAAAATATGCAAACCTTGACATGTGGGAGCCCTATATTTCAAATCTACCTCCATTAATTAATAGCTATGTGAACCTTATGTAAATCCCTTTACCTCTCTGAGCTTCAGGCCCTTAATCAGTAAAATGTGGAAAGCACTACTCACCTAATATGTTCTGTGAGTGTTGAATGAGAAATGCATGTTCAGGTGCCTTTTATAGTATTTGATGCATTAGAGATGTTTAAACTATGTTAGTTTTTATTTCTTTTCACCACTCTCAGTAACAATCTACACATTCCTTCATATTCGCTACACTCATATTTATAACATTTCTTTATGGTAAGCAGGTCAAGGTCTGTTAGCCTTATTTTATAGAAACAGGAACTGAGACACAGAGAGGGAAAGTGATTTGTTCAAAGTCAGTCACAGAGCAAATCCGTGGCAGAACTAAGGTCAAGCCCAGGTTTTATGGCTCCAGTCCAGAGCTTTTTCAACTCTATCAATGTGACTATTCCATAGATCATGTTGCTTTCTCAAAGGCTTAAATAGCATGAGGCAGTAAGAGGCAGGAGAGTGGGTAGATTCCTACTTTTCAACTAACCAGCTACCTTTCACCACCCATTTCCACATTTCTCCAGCTAAGATATTGTCCAGGTCCTTCAATGACATGCTCCTCCCTACATTCTATCTGAGAAAATGTGAACAATATGTGGATGAATGCCAAGACTGCTATCAAAACAGTCAGGTCAAACCTACTCTCCAAGTCCTCCAATCCATGCTTGAGTTTCTTTTATAGTATTCCACCAAGCTTCGTGTCATCCTTGCTCACATACTTGCAGTGTCAATAAGCTTACCACTCACTGCTCAACATGTATTGCAACTATGACTGGTGGATTTGAACTCAACATAAACAAAAACTTTCTGTCTCTCTATAGTAACCACCATTGGGTCCTGACTCTGTTCACTGGGCCACATAGACTTCGTTTGCTTTTTCTGCCTTGTGATAGCCCTAAAGAAGTCTGGAGGCAGCATCTCCTCTCTGGAAAGTACTGCTTTTGGTTCCTCTAAAGTACATGTAACTTAGAACTGAACCCAGTTTTATAAGGAATGGTCTCATCAGTGTGGAATAAGGTAGAACTATCATCTCCTTAGCTAGATGATGTATTTCTGCTATTGCATCTTAAACCATTGGTCTAAACCATGTTAGTTTTTATTTTTGACTGATGGGGAAAGGAGGGAGCTAGCAAGATTGCACCCACAGTTTTCTAACTTGCTCTCCTCCCTCCCTAGGTCTCTTGGGCTCCTGGCAGCCTTGCCCAGTCATTCTCCCTGGACTCCCCTGCTTTGCTTCTATACCACTACAGCAGCAGGGGCCTTGGGTGTGGTGTCCTCAACAGCCAGTACTTTACAGATGAGGGATATTCTATCCCCTCCCACCAGAGAATTGGTTCTTCACAATTTTCCCAAGACTGATCTGTAGCATTTCTTGTTTAACTATTCTAGCTAGCCTGGAGAGCTGGATTCCAGAGCCATGGTACTACGAAACATATTCTTAGCTCAGTTTGATTATAGAGAAGAAGGGAGGGGATGACAATGAATGGTGTAGAGTTTTACTGAATGCATCTTTGATCAGGTGGATCTGAAGAAATGGCCTCTCAGAATTCTATTGATACATCTACCTAGCACTTTAGGGACAAAATCAAACCCTTCCCCCTTTAGATCCTCTGCATTGCCCCTCTCCCTAACGCACACACACACACACACACACACACACCCCTACACACATCTTGGGAGAGGCCTGACACCTTGATTCCCCATTCATCTCCTAGACTGCTGTGACTGTGAAAGCTCTGGAGTTAGCCCATTTGCCATTGTCTTCCTCCCCACATATAGGTCTCTACCTTTCTTTAGTGGGGAGTTAACTCAACTCAGTGTCTTTTTTATCTTTAAAATGGTAGTTCTTTTTATTTTTATTTCTCTTGAACTCTTGCCTCTTTTGTCCCTCCCTGGTGACTGGCTTTTTAAAGTTTCAAGATTCCCTGGGCCAAACTCAGAGCTCAGAGCTTTGGTTTTGGGGGTTACAGTGAAGTTCCTGAGATCTAAGGGCCTGACCATAGGGCAGCTCAAAGACCATTGGTGCCCTGGCTGATGTAGCTCCATGGTTGGAGCATTGGCCTGCACACCAGTGCATTATGGGTTCAATTCCAGGTTAAGGGCAAGTACCTGGGTTGCAGGTTTGACCCCCAGCCTTGGTCAGGGATCGTTTGGGAGGCAACCAATCAATGTGTCTCTTTCTCCCCCTCCCTCCTTTCCACTCACTCTAGAAAGCAATTGAAAAAATATCTATGGGTGAGGATTAAAAAAAGAAGGCCATTGGTGCTTTCTTAGTTTAGAGAAAAATAATCAATTCTAATCCTTCACCACCAGCTTTACATATTTCTCAAAATGAAATTATGGAATTTTTTTCCATGGTTGATTTCACAGAGAGCCTCAGGGCTCAGATGCAGGCATCATGGATTGTTTTTGTGGTTTTCTTTTTAAGTCTACCTTATGCCCATTATGGGATATCAGGCTGATGCCCACTCCCTCACAGTGGGTCATATTTGGAAGGAAAACATGCTCAACTGAATGGAGCAACTATCTCCTTTGTTTGGGAGCAGCCTATATAGTCTAGAATGTTGGATGTGACTTAATTTGTAAAAAACATGACTGGACATAGGTGACTGTCATCCTGGGATGGGAAGACTGAAATTCGCTACATATATGGATGCTGTACTTTGCAGTTTGCAATGTACTTTCACAGCCATCATCTCACTGGATCTTTACACAGACCCTAAGGTGGGCAAGGCAAGGATTACAATCCCCAGTTTACAGTTGAGAGATGAAAAATGACTGGCCTTAAGTTCCTTAGTGATGTAGGGATAAATATCAAGGCTAGGGAACTCTCTGATATCTTTAAATCTTCATTTTCTGGAAGACGGTGTTTTAGAGTAGGAGTATTTTGGTTTTCTGGCTTATCTGTTCCAGAAAACAACTCTCTTTGGAAGGAAAAATGGTGGAGACAAATAAGGTGTTATGACTGAATATAATGAGGTAATGTTTTTTCCCATCACACCAAACCTATCCTTTCCCTTTCCCACCAGCTCCCCCAACCCACCTTGCAGTCAAACTGGATGTACATTCTCTGCAAGGTCTGACCCCAGTGCCAAGCTAAGAGACTTTCCATTCAACACTGACTCTCAAGAGATCAAAAAGAAGGGCTGCAAGGTTAGACAAGACTCTTTCTATTTGTCTATCTCTCTCCTTTTGCCCCTGGGGTATAAAGAGAAGAAATAAAGGTTGGAGCCCATAAGAGCATTCATCTTACTTTACCCCTACTAACCTACATTCCTCAGTTCAATTTAAGAGTCTCTGATCTTAGTTTGGGGAAGACTTGAGACATTAACTTTATTTAAAGGTAAGCAAGGGGCAATTATCCCATCTCTAGAAGTCTCTCCCAGCTGTTATTTGAGCAAATCTGTAAATTACAATACTTCAGTGCTTTACAGTCTAGAAAAGTTTATCCATAGATATTTCTTATTTTAAAGAACAGGAACTGAGGTCTGGACAGGAGTAATAACTTACCCAAAGCAGTTCATATTTGGGAAAAGCAGCCTGCCCCACATACCTACCCCCAGAGCCACGTGTGGATCCCATAGCTGATAGTAGAGGCCAGGAAAAGGAAAGTAGAGCAGAAACTGCTCTTGGTATGGCATAAGGACAGGCAAGGGTGTTGGAGGGCACTGGTTATTTTTCTCCACTGCCTAAACAATGCTTAAAAGATCACTGAGGAGCATAGAAAAAAATAGGAAAGAGACTTAGGATATTGATTAAGACAATTCATCTCCACACCCATGAAAAGCAACTGTTCCCACAGTCAAGTGTTGATGAGGAAGTCTTCTATTGATAGACAGCACATTATGTCATCTGTATTTGGGATGGAAAAGACTTTTAGTTTTTTGTTTCTTTGTATTTTGCTTTTCTCTCCCTGTAGCTCTTACTTTGTACGATTTATAAGGTTTCCTCTGCCTTCTTCCAGGTCCCTCTAGACTCATGGTACTCCCTAGGTCAGCTGGAAGGTCTTACACATGTTTAAAGAGCAATGGTCCTGCATTGTAGCATAGGGCAGGGCAAGCAACTTCCTTGTGGATCTCTTGGGCCTCAGCCCTTTATTTGAGGTGCTATAACTCTCTATCTCCAGCAGGGAACAGGGCTGGAATTTGCTCTCTTGGAAACTTACAGAACAATTCTGAGCCAAGGTTACCTTCCCACTAGGGCCTGATTTCTGCAAACTACCTTTCAGCAATGCCCCAAGGATACCTGCTAATCCATTTAGAGGCAGTAAGTGGGGTGAAGAAAGGGGCCCCACTTCCTTTTTCTATTCACATGTTAACTGGATCCCAGCTCTCTCATCACCACTGTCCATTTGATTCTTTCTCAAGTGTTTTGGCTTTAGCTCTTATCTATACATTCCAATACCAGGGAAGAACAAACTCCATGGATACTGTATTCTTTTAATTATTTGGCTGAATTTCTGAAATCTGTATAGCAAGTTCCTGCCCTACGAGTATCTGTTGGTTAGTTAAGTACACGAGCCATCCCTAGCTTTGGAAAATGAATGCTCTCTAAGCAAGAGATGCATCTCTAAGCAAAA